TTAAAAAGTAAGAAGTAATACTGTATATTTATTTATTTTATATCGTGTAGTTGCGTGATTTCTGTAACTTATTCAAAATAATACTATATAGTTTTGGTTTTCCGTCTCTTATTAGTTGTCTTTCCTCTAATTGATTGGCTTTGAATTGTCCTAGTGTGTTTGAGTAACTTTTTACTCTTTTTCAATATTTAGCTGTTACACATATTAATGACCCATTTACTAAAATGAGATATTATATTATTTAGATTATTAATAATACTCTCTATTTAACATTAAATACTAGAAAAATATATGTTTTAATCAAACCAAATTATTACTAAATAGTATCTAGTCCACAAAATAGTAAATTATAAGACACACGTTTAAATAATTATCATAGAATCCAAATAGAAATGTGTTTGAGACATATAATTAAACGGGTTAAATCCCTTAACCCAAACGCGACACGATTAATTAAACGGGTTAATCGTGTTGACTTGAACTCTTTTAACGTAAACCCAAACTCAAACCCACTTAAATCGTGTGGTGTTCGAGTTGTATTAGCGGATCGTGTTAAATTTTGCCACTCCTAGGGTTGCCAACCCGTTATAGTTGGGCTTCTTTTCAGTTTCAATCCGGGCCTATTGGAAAGAATAATAGAGTTTGGGTTTTTGGTTTGGGTTAACTCCTTATTGAGCCTTAGATTTGTTTGTTGTCTCTTTCAGTTCGGGCCTTTTGGAAGATAAAAAATGGGATTTGAGTTTTTTGGGTTAGGCCTGGTTAATTCCTTATGGGGCCTTAGGTTCTTTTGTAGGCTCTCTCGGTCTTTGTTTGTCTGGGACATAGGCCAGTTCCTCATTGTTTTGGTCTCGGGCCTGTGGAGAGCCCACTTTGTAATTATTTTACCTATACTTCCTATAAAAAAATAAAAATAAATAAATAAATAATTCATGGGTACATAGGAACGAACTCACTATTAAGTTTATTCAAAATTAATTTGGTTTCATATATATATATATATATGAATGAAATAAATAGTAATTTACAATGTCTAAATTAATTAAAAACTTCATTATAATTTGTATACATATTACAAATTATTTTTTTTATTTTACTATTTTAATAAAATAAGGATAATTTAGGTATCTAAACTATGACATGATAATTTCATTCAAGCCCATTTATTTCGAAAATTACTTTTTTGAAATTACAAGAAGAGGGAGGATTGATTGGAGGATTACTATACAAGATAAATGACTTTATTAGTTATTACCCTAATTTTTTTATTGAACACTTTTTTTTTTTTTTTGATGTATGTTAAGCAAGGACAGTCTGTGGGTTCCATAATTGGTTTCAAACTAGATATACTTCAAGCTCCACTTTTTGGAATGCAGTTGCTAAGATCACTCACTCAATTCTGTGGAAAATTTTTTATTAATCTTAGAGACATAATTCAGAATAAAGTCAACTTTTCTGTTGGTGCTGGGCATCTTTTCAGTGTTAACAGATCCTTGGTGTGAGGGGGAAACTTTGTTACAGAAGTTTGGTCATAGAATGGTTCGAAGGCTGAGGTTTACTTGGCATTCTCCACTGTTTAGTCTTGTAGATAATGGAAATTGGAAATTTGATATTCTGCAAGATCATTTTTTCAGGCCTATCAGAGATTTTTTACATTCACAGCCTATACATGCTAGACCAGACAGATTTACTTGGGATGGAGGCACTTTTGCTTTCAAAATAGCTTGGCAATGCTGTAGAATTATTCATTCAGAGGTTAGACCTCCATGGTCTGTCCATGGGGTATTTTTATTTCAAGACAGGCTGCCAACCAGATTTACAACTACCTAATTTAAAGATATTTGGGTAATTGAAAGATGGAGGCACTTTTGAATTGGTACAAAATTTGTTGGGGAAAGGCTAGACCTCGATGGTCTGTCCATGGGGTATTTTTATTTCAAGACAGGCTGCCAACCATGTATAATTTGCAGGGAAGGAATGTATATTTGGCTCCAAGATGTTCTCTCTGTCTTCGAGTTATTGACACTAGAGATCATGTATTTGGGAGTGTCAATTTTTAAGGAAGTTCTGAATGATGTGGCTGGATGATGTTTTTGAATGGAGGATGCATTTCTCTATTATTACCACAGTTGACAGTTTGCTGAACTGGTTTTTACAACAGACCAGTAAATTGCTGCACACCATATTTATTGCTGCTCTATGGGTGATTTGGCAAGTGAGAAATAGAATATTGCATGGCCATATGTCTAGGACTCATTGGGACAAATTTTGTTTGAAGTTCTAGATATTTATAATGTTTCTATTCAAAATGTTTTGTAAGCTTGTGATTTCTATTTGGTAATGGATTTTGTTCTTTTATTGATACATTGTTTTTTTACATTTCCAGTATTGTTCCGAGGGTATGCCGTATTTCTGCCTGTAAATATTTTAATCATTTATTTATATAAACTCTAATTATGAAAAAAAAATAATACTAAAAAAATAAAAAAATGTACAGTATAAGTAGAAACAAATGTTGGATGTAGCTGCAGCACTAAGGCAGTCCATATGGCTAAAACAACATGCATTTAGGTACATTTAAAGAGCAATTGGGCCCAGCCCAATGTTATTATTATTATATTGTCGGAAGGTCTAGCCCAACGCTATTGCAGCACAACATGCGGTGCACCATTGTTGAAACTTGAAACAAATAATTGCTTAAAGTTCGATGGTTTTGGTAACTGGGGAGCGTGACGTTAGCCCAATAACGTCATAATTGGTTTGTCAGCACAATGACGTTTTCTTTCATTGCCGATATTAACCTTCCATTATTCCACACAACCACTGAAAAGTACTACAACTAGCAAATGACAGACTCATTAACTTTCAAAAAAACGAAAAAAAAACACTACTCAAAGTAATAAATGACAAATTAAAGATTTAAAGGACTAGTTTTCATGTAGAAAGGGGACTTAGTCAGAAATTATATAAGGGAGTCTAATGTAATTTTTTAATAATTTTAGTGGGAACGGTAATGTAATTGTATAGATATATATATCAAAAATATAAATTAATATGATAAATTAGTAAAATATATTTATTATAATATTATAACACCGGGTGAGAGTAAAAGAATAAAAGTTATTTATTTTTTATTTTAAACTCAAAATGTAATGGTGTTAATTCTTTAATTGATTAGTACTGATGACATGGTATTATTAATTTATTAAATATTATTGTGTAGTGATATGACTCACTCAAATAAAATATTTTTACAATTAATTGATGACGAAATATTCTGTATAAAATGTGTAAAGAAATTTTTCTCTCATTATAGATCTTGTAATTTAAAAAAGAAAATAATTTAAAGGTTATATCGTATTAATTCTTTTAAAAATAGTGGACTAGTGTGGGTCATTGCAATTTGCATGAGAAAACGTGTGAAATAAGTGGACTGGAGAGGGATTTTGATCCCAAACATATATATATATATACACACACATTGCCCTGTAAAAAAAAAAACCTAATGCTAGTATATTTCGCAAACTCACTCAAATCAGTGGTGCCATTATAGATCTCACCAGCTCCACTACCCAGGTTCTTTTTTCTCCTCTTGTGTGCACTAATTATTAGTGTTGGTCCTCATTTTGTGGGTTCTGATCTCCTTCTGTGGAAATTTTACATTTACTATTTGTTAGTGTTTGTTACTCATTTTTTGTGTTTTCATGAACTGATCTCCTTTTTGTGCTTCACTAAATTTCAGATCAGAGGTTAATTCTTTTGGGCTTCATCGAATTTTACATTTACTAGTTATTCCTCATTTTAGATCTACTAGTTCTTTTGTGTTTCCTTTTATTCCTCATTTTATATGCATTTCTATATGTTGTTTTCAAGTTTCCTAGTATTATTGTTATTCCTCATTTTATATGCATTTTTATACTTTGTTATTCCTCATTTTATATGACACTGCCTCCATTCATGCAGGCATATTTTTAATTAGTAGGCAGTAGTTAAGCTTGAAATTAAGACCCGACTTGACCCATTTATCTTTATTTTTTTCACTCTGTTTCTCTCAACCAATATCATGTATATATTATTAAATATTATTTGACATCAATATATTATAAGTAACTTTTATATTTTTGTCTTGGGGCTCAAATTATATAGAGTCTCTAATGCTTTGTATATAAATTTCACATAGTTTTTTTTTTTTTTTGAAAGGTAATTTCACATTTCACTTAGGTCCCCCCTGATGAATTCCCCTACTATGTGCTCTTCCCAATGGTCATCTCTTTAATTTTAAATTCTCATCGGTTGAAAATTCAATTCTAAAGCTTTCACTCCTTTCATTGTCACTCAGCTCATTTTTAAAGACATTTCCATGTAGATGTATGAAACTACATAAAAATGTTCACAGCTTTTTCATGGCTCGGGACTATATCAATTTTGAATAAAATTAACGCGTTACTTACGTGTGCCGTTTTATAATACTCCTTTTTCACAACTGCTTAATTATAGTAGTTCTTTCTAGAACCACACTTGTCCGAACACTACATTAATCTACAAAATTATAAAGAGAAAAATATGTTAATTTGCCATTAATTCCACTACCTCTGGTTGGATGGAAATTAAGAGGGATGGAGTGCTAAAGAAGGAGAATGCTTCCGCCATACAATTCATGTAGAACAAGAAGAACGAGTAAACACGCGCTTGAAAAATATGTACAAAAAAATTACAAATACAGGAACTTATTAGCTCTAATACGTATATATACTTCAAAAGAAAATTCTAGAAAAACATTCATGCAAATTATAAAGAGAAAAGTTTGTCAATTTGCCATTAATTCCACTACCTCTAGTTGGATGGAAATTAAGAGGAGGGAGGGAGGAAAGGAGGAGAATGCTTCCGCCAAATTACAATTCTTATAAATTGAAGTCTTGATCTTCTCATTCACAAATCAACTCTTCGAGTTTTTTGGTTTAATCTTCTCTCTCTAAGTTCATATCCTTTAACTCACAGGAGGCATGGGTTGTTGCTCCAAACCCAAGACGAAATGGGTCTGCACCGATTTTAAGATCACTCTAATTTCAGCTACAGATCTTAAAGGTCGAAAATTTTCGACGACGAAAGTTTATGCAGGTGTTTCAATCTGTGGTGGGGCGGAGAAGCAAACTCCGGTGGACACGGAGAACGGGACCAACCCTACTCTGAATTTCAACGCCATATGGCCCATAGATGACTCCGATGTCCAACATTATTGCTCCAGGGTTGTCATCAAGTTATACTGGAAACGGCGGTTTTTTGGTGACCGATGTATCGGTCAGGTTGATGTGCCGCTGAAGGATCTCAGAGATAGAGCGCCTAAACCCTATGTGGAATACCATGTGAGTAGAGGTTCAAAAGTTAAACAGGGAACGCTGAAATTTTCATACGACTTCGGGGTTATCAGGGATACTGATGAAAAGCCTTCTTATAGCTTGATCAAGAGAGCATTCGACGGAGTTATTGCAATTGTTAGTGTCATTACTTGCTCTGCCGCGTTGGATGGCTAGCTAATGGCCATATATATCTATACAATTCCCTTCAATTTCAGAATATATATATCTATATATATATATATAAGTCATTCACAAAGTAAGTTTTTTTTTTTTTTTTTTCTTTTGGGGGAATGTTAAGCAAGTTGTATCTTTCTGTGGTTTGATCAATCTTTATATGGTGTAATTGTGTTGCTCTGTAACCAAATTAGAATAATATATAGTTTTTCATTTTACCTCTCTTATTAGTTGTTATCGACAATCATTCTTCTTCTTTTTTTTTAAAAAAATATATATATTTTTAGATCAATTGCATAAAATTTTCTTGACCTAAAACAATTTACATCTTACCTCACCTACTAAATGTTAATTATCACATGCTCCACCAAAATACTTTGGAAGACACCCTATTGAATCAAGTTTACATGGTCAAAACATTAGGTCTTTCTTACATCAAAATATATCATTTCCAACTCATAGGATTTGGGTACGATGCTCGATCTTGGACATTCAGCAAGCAGACTTCTGCAACCTTGGAAAAGTTAATTGTGTAAAGAACAAGAACTTTACAATGAGTAAATACAATTTATTTTATCTTTCATTTTCTTTTGTTTGTAGATTGATAATCTGCGATATCTCTGCCATAAAGATTCTATAATCATTGATAAATCAAAGCACCTTAAAATTTTGAGTCAATACTCATATTCTAGCTCTTTGAAGGATTGTTGAATTCATATTCTCCCTTCAAATTAAATTTGTAGTTTTCTAACTAAAATTTGAAGGAATATAGAAAACTTTGATGGGTAGAGTGGAACTTGATAAATACTTTACACCAAGGTTCAATTCTGCGGATCCAATTTGTTATGTTATCATAGTACGAGAGTATTTAATCATTTGAACATTTTAAACGTTCTATATTTGTGTTGTTTTGATCATCATAATGAGATCTCTACAACTCTTGAACATAATCCTACGCTTTGGATGAAACAAATAAAAATTTGAATTTTTGTTTTGTCTATTTCATTTGTGTTTTCTATTTTATGATTTTTTAAAGTTTATTTTTTTTATTGTTATTATTATTATTTTTTGTCAAAACAACATCATTTTATATGAGGATTTGCAACCAAGTCATCTCTTTGTTCAGTCGGTCAAACTTGGCCAATTCATTTCTCCTCACATGAATTAATTTCTAACTAGTGACATGACATCCAACCAATCTTCTCGTTAATTACAGTATTAATGTTGTAGAAATTTGAAGAACAATAATAAGTCAACACACCCCTTTTAAAGTCTCTTTGTTTAGATTCAAATCATAATTACAATTTTTGTAAGATATAATGAGGATGGGTGTTATAATACGCAGCTTGATATTTGGTGGGAGAAAAACAGTTGAATTTTCAATTCTGAAACTTCTTCTTTCAGTGTCACCCAGCTCATTGTTAACTATATTAGGAGTAGCTAGATTGACTTCTCTCCGTCAAGTTCAATGACAGTGTTGTTAGCAAAAATATTAGAGCTACATCGAATCTCTTCAGTTCTTTCAACGAAGTGAAATTTTAGGTGTGCCGGATATACCACCTCAAAGAAAAAGATATGGAGCTACATGGAACCTCTCCGGTCCTTTCTTCCAGGAAGCAGGCGCCCTCCTTCTTCATAGTTTCTGTTTCATCAAGGAAGCATGTTTTAATCTTCCTTTTCTTCTGTTGTTTCTTTGCTTTTTCCTTCAGATTAATTACGTACAGCTACAGTAGTCTGGGGTGTTTCTTTACCAATATACCGGAAACAAAAATAGAAAAAGAATAAGAAAGGGAGCCAAAAGTAAAGATTTCAGAGATTGAGAGGTAATGTTGCGTTTTTAAGATTTAGGGGGTTCAACTTGAAGCCGCCCAAGAAGCTTACATTGTGATCACGACCATAACCCATACCGTAAACCATGAACATCTATAAAACCCATCAAATAGTGTATTAATCTACAAAACTCCGAGCTAGTAAACCAAGGTCAAACAATTGCCCCACTTGAGGAAAGTATTTTTAGAATTCCAGATTTTGACTCCCTAGTTTGCCATTAATTCCACTACGTATGGTTAGATGAAAATTAAGAGGGAGAGAGGAAAAAGGGATAAGATGCAAATTACAAATACAAGTCCTTATTGGCTCCAATACTTATATATATATACACGTCAAAAGAAAATTTTAGATGAACACATTCATGCAAATTACAATTCTTGTAAATTTAAGAAAAATAAAAAAATTACAATTCTTATAAATTTAAGTCTTGGTCTTCTCATTCACAAATCAACTCTTCAAGTTTCTTGGTTTAATCTTCTCTCTCTCTCCCCTATCTCCAACTTCATCCTCCAAGTTACAGCCAGCATGGATTGTTGCTGCAAAACCCAAAAAAAATGGCAATGCACAGAGTTTGAGATATATCACTCTTATTTCAGCCACAGATCTTAAAAGTCCAAAATTTTCCCGCAAAAGAATGCATGTAGGTGTTTCAGTTTGTGGTGGCGCGGAGCAGAAAATTTTGGTGGATTTGCAAATTTTTTTTTTTTTTTTTTTTTAAAAAAAAGACAACACTATTATACATGAGGATTTGCAACCAATTGGTCAACTTGGCCAATTCATTTCTCCTGACATGAATTTATTTATTCTGACATGATTCCAACCTAACTGACATGAATTTCAATTTATTTCTTCTGTCATGATTCCAGCCTCTCTCCTGGCCCATTACCTTTATGGGTCTGTAGTTCTGTTAATATTTATTTATAAAATTGAAATTCACAAAATTTCCGGATTAGTGCACTGGTCCCAACGGGTTGTAGTTCTTTCTGTTTAATGCACTGGTCCCAACGGGTTGTAGTTCTTTCTAGAACAAACACTTGTCCGACCAATGCATTAATCTCCGATCGAGTAAGAAAAGTATTTTTGGAATTCATGTTCAAGACTCAAATTTGCCATTATTTCCACTACCTGACTTTGGTTGGATGGAAATTAAGAAGGAGAGAGGAAAGAGGGAAAAGATGGAGACAGCTTAAGCCATTAATCATGTGGAACGAGAAGAACAAGTAATTAAACACACGATTGAAATATGCATAGGAAAAATTACAAATACATGGACTTATTGGCTCCAATAGGTACGCAGACAATGAGTACAATGATACAGAGACAATGAGGACAATGATACAGAGACAGATACAGAGGTAGGCAGTGATTCTGAAGGTGGTGCAGATGATTCTTTTTGTATTAGTCCACCTGCAAATGCATCTAACAGAAAAGGTAAAGTTGTATTGAGGAGAAGCAAAAGTTTTAATAGCAAGCTTGTCCCAAGAAGGATACCAGCAAGTTCTTCTGGCTTGAGGTATCTGAGGAGGTCTCTTAAACCTCATCTTAAATGATTAATGTCATTGCTTGGAATGTGAGGGGCCTCAACGACCTCTCTAAGCAGCTTGAGCTCAAGAGTCTCATTACTGAATTCAAGCTGGATGTTCTCTCAATCATTGAGACTAGGGTTTCTGTCCACAACATGGCTGGTATCCACAGGAGAATTGCTACAAATTGGTCAATTGCGCATAACTACTCTCACTCACCATTGGGGAGAATTTGGGTGCTTTGGGACCCTAGAAGGGTTGATCTTACTGTCAATTATGTTACTTGTCAAGCTATCCACTGTTAGGTATCTCTAATTGGTACTCACACCAAGTTTTTCATTACTTTCATTTATGGTTCAAACTTAGCTGCTACAAGAACTTCCCTCTGGATGGATATCATCACCCATTCCTCACTATATGCTACTGATCCATGGCTCCTTATGGGGGACTTTAAAGCCATATCAAGCACCAATGAAAGGTTTAGGGGCTCTACTAAATGGCTGCCAGCCATCGCCCAATTTAGAGACTGTCTACTAGAGGCTGAACTGGAGGACCTCAGATTCAATGGGCTGTTTTACACATGGAACAATAAAAGTCTGGGTCCTGCATGCATTGCAAGGAAAATTGATAGGGCTTTAGTTAATTCTACTTGGCACTCTGTATTTCCTTATGCTGAATGTTCTTTTCTCCCACCTGGACTCTCTGATCACAGTCCAATATTGGCTAAGATTAACACTGTCATTCCTATCAGAGCCATTCCATTCAAGTTTTTTAATGCTTGGTGCTCTCATCCCATGTTTCTTCCCATTGTTGACAGGGAATGGAGGAAGTATATTAGAGGTACTTCTATGTTTCAGGTTGTGCAGAAGTTAAAGTCCCTAAAGAAACCTCTAAGGGATGCCTGCAGGGAAAGGTTCTCCAATTTTCCATCACAGATTCTAAGAGTCAAGGAAGCCTTTCATTGCTGTCAAGTGGATCTGGACAAGACACCACAAGATGAAGAATTGAGATTGATGGAGAAGGCTCTCTCAATTGAGTATACTGGATTGCTTCTTGCTGAGGAGAGTGTTATGAGGCAGAAATCAAGGGTTAAATGGCTTCATCTAGGTGACTCAAATACCTCCTATTTCCACAAGTCTTTCTTATCAAGATCAAATGCAATGAAAATTATTAGCCTGACCACTTCAACTGATGCCACTGTGGATACTGAGGATGGGGTTAAAAATGAAGTTTTGACACATTTCAAATCCCTGCTTGGAGAGAATCCACCACCACACTTTGGAAGAGATGCACTACTGCCATTCATCACAAAAAAGGTCCCTGATCACATACACCAGTCCCTTGTTGATATTCCTTCAGATATGGAAATTCAGCAGTGTTTTTTTGCCATTAATAAGGACAAAGCACCTGGTCCTGATGGCTTTGGAAGCCATTTTTTCCATCAAGCATGGCCAATTGTTGGTAGGTCGGTCATAAAAGCAGTGAGAGAGTTTTTTCAAAATGGGAAGCTCCTGAAGGAAACCAATTTAGCCTATATTTCACTGGTACCTAAGTGTCAAAATCCCACTTGTATGAATGATTACAGACCCATAAGTTGTTGTAATGTGGTGTATAAGTGTATTGTCAAGCTTCTTGCCACAAAACTGC